TTTTTTTTTTTTTTTTTTTTTTTTGTTCCACCGGAGGGTGAAGAGGTTGTTCGGTTTTTCAGCACCATGAGAGGACCGGTGGTTTTCCAGATGTGGATGGTTTTACTGCTGACCGCCATGAGCAGAGTCGGGAGGACTCAGGTCGCCACTGCCAAAGTGTTGAGAGGGAACAGCAGGAGAGAAGGTGAGACATCTTGGTGTTTCTGTGCTCCACTATCCTCCTCATTACCGTTTCTTTAAACAGCTGCCTCGTTTAAAAACACCATGATGTAATGTTTACATAATGTTCAAGATGTTTACATTAAAACACGTGATTTCAGTTGCACAAGAAAGAGCTTTAAAAACATTTCAAAGTAAGAATTATAGCGTTTTAGATTCCCAAAATGGGCATAATAAAGATACCAATTGAAAACTTTGAAATGACTCAGTTAATCCTGAAGCACATTAAATGATGACGTTTGAAAGAGTTTGCTCCAGATGTTTTCCAGATATTGGATGTCTGAAATGCAGGTACGCAGTCCATGTAAACAAAGCACTTTTATATGCACTCTTTAGGTACTCAACGAATTTTAACCCAAATACATATTTATAGACGCAAAATTGAGACGTGTCAATTCCAAGGAGCTCTGGGATCAGCTGTTCACAGTTTCTGCTTACAAACTTTTAACTTAAGTATTCATAAATATGAGTGAAAAATAAAGTGCTGATCGTATTTTTTTCTTTATGATTTTTATTTTTATGTGATTCGTCTTCATGATATTCTAATGACGACCTTTTATGTCTGGAATTTCCACAGAACAATGTGAAAAGTTGTTATTGTCACAGAAAGTACATGATGGCTGTATTTTAAATACGGTGTGCCATGAATGTTCTGAAGGCACTTGCTTTTTCACTGGTTAGAATAATGTTAATGAGTTAATTTTTACAAGTTCAAGTAGTTACAAACTTCACTCTAGAAACAAATTATGGATAAGTTACTCCTATACTTCAACTTGTTTGGAGTATGGTACTGTATGTAAATATCCACATAAAGAGCCCAGTTGAGTTTTTATTCCATTTTTAGCATATACCAGTGTTTTGGACAAAGTTGTCATTGACATAAGTTGTCTAAAACAAGGGTTCTCAAACTTTTTGGGTCTGGGGACCCCTTACAAGGGCAGAAATAATTCCAGGGACCCCCTCATGCTGTTTTAAAAGGTAATTTACTGTTATTTCAACCCCCTAAATGCCCTGGGAATTATATTTTTATTTAGTTTATTATGTTTAGTCTTATTTTTTTTATTGTAGTTTTATTAGTTCATTGTTCCCCATCAATTAAAAAAAAATGAAAACCAATAATTTAGTGAAATCCTTTAAGGAACCCCAAGATACCTGTTGTAGACCCCTGGGGGTCCTGGGACCAAAGTTTGAGAACATCTGGTCTAAAACATTAAAGTGTGACATGGCTCTCAGTGTCTTTTAAATTGTTAAAAATGTCTTTTGCATCTTTCCAAAACCTGAGCTGCCTTTGGAACAAAAGTTCTAAATTAGGCCATGACTAAAACTCTCAAACAGGAAGTAAACAAATAGTTGACAAATAGAATTCTGGGTGTTTTTTTATTTTCTATTTATGATTAGTGCAGATTCCCAAAATTCCTGCTCACTAGTTACGTAAAAAAAAAAGGATGTATCTCTAATGTAGAAAAATTGCAAGTTGTCTGAACCATGGCTGCACCTGAGTATTAGAATTTTACTTAATTTTACCTCAGAATTACATATCTATTAATTTTTGTGCGTTCTGTATTTTAAACCTAGTAAGTATGTTTTCAAACCTGTTTGAAACAACAGATACATCATTTCATTGATAGGTTGCCTTGTAACTTAGGGTGTGAACCTTTAAATGACTGATACAACTCAGGAATGCTCAATAAACTCAAAATGAAAGAGTGGGGGGGTATTGGTGTTCAATTATGTACGAAGCACATTTAAACTGCACAGAAAGAAGACAGTACAGTTTTGTTCAGTGGCTAATCTATAAAATTTAAAACCCACCGGGCGCTGGAATCCTTTCAGTGAGAGCATCTTTATCCCTGAATGCAGCTGAGGTCTGCAGAAGCCTTGATCCACTTCCATGTATAACTTAGTGGCATGTACTTTTCTCTGCAGGCCCCTGAGGCTAAAGTGACAGTGCAGCACCTTGGATTGCTCACATTTCACTCAGCTACAGGGCTGCTGGTTGCTGAGACACATGAAAACGTGCATCTCTGTGTGTGATGATAGAAAGGGAAAAAGAAAAGAAAAAACAAGGCTAGGTCAAAACATAAGCTGCAGCTGTCACCACATTAATGATGTCTTTTCTTCTTTACGAAACATCAAACAGTTTAAAACTGTCTAAAATRCATGTTTTACCGTCCTTTACCAAAGGGCTGTTTGTCTGTTGGGAACATTTCTCATGAAGCATATGGACAAAGAAGTAATAGCTGAGTGTCAGTCAAAAAAAAAAACGATCCCATCACATTTAGGCTGTAAAAGGGATATTTTACTCTAACTGTGCTTGTTTAGCTGTTAGCCTTGTGCATTTTTTTTGTTTGTCATATAAATGGGTGTAAACTGTAAGTGATGTGCCAGAAGCAGCCCCAGCTGTGCTGTAGCTGCTCTGTGAAATCGAAGCAGACAGACGGGATGGGAACGTAGTTAACGCCGCTAAAGAAACGGTTGGTTAAGAAGTAAAAGTTGATCCTTTCAGAAGATAAACAGCTGCACCAATTCTCTTTGGCGAAGGCCCAGAATAGCAGCTGAATAAAAAGTGTCTGTTCTCTCACATGGAGTGGGGGGCAGAAAAGATAAGTTATTAAGCTGAAAGATCAGAAGAAAGCTTTTTAAGCCCTTATGTGCTTTTTCTCAACAATAGTGCAGGAATGCTTTTATTATTATTTTTGGTTCCAGCAGTTTTCAACAGCTCTGAAGTCAGACTGCTTTTGGTATTTGATGTTATTCTTATATTTTAGGAATAGTTTAACGAAAATGAAAAGATTAGGAACAGAGCTGCAGTTTGACTCATTCAACCCTCTTTAATCTGTGAGATATTTTTGGGGAATGTAAATATAATGTAGTGAAAACAGACGGATTAGAACAATAAAAAAATGTCTTAATATAGTAAAGAAAACAATAATGTGCTTGTTTAGTCAGGTATCATTTTTAAATGAGATTCTGACATTTTAATAGATCGCTACTTGGTAGCAAGGGGCTAGATATTAAAACCCATAAGACAGGTGTCAAACTCTTTACAGGATCAGATAATATTGAATTAGACTGTTATGATCTTTCATCTTTTGATCCCAGTCTGCGATCGCTGTTATTGAGGTAGACTTGTTTCGAGTACAAAGCTCCTTAATCTACTGCAGACTGGCAATAATTCACTGCTTAGAAGTTCTCCTTACTTATAAATGTGTTTGATAGAGTGTGTGTGTGTGTGTGTGTGTGTGTGTGTGTGTGTGTGTGTGTGTTCTGACAGAATGTCTTTGCTCACCTTAAAAGAACTTAAACAAGCAAGAGGTTTGACACCCATTCAAACAAATGTTAAACGTCGCAGCTCATATTTGAAATGGGGTTTTGTGGAAAGGTTATAGAAAATTATTATGTATAAAGCTCTTTGAACAATTTATTTTTATTTTATTTTATAAACCTTTATTGTGACACTGATTTCACATTACATGATTGTTTTGGCAGAAATGTTATGATATTCTTGGGAGTGCCCTGATGTGATATGCCACTAATCAACCGATTTGATGTAAATTACCATGTAATGGAAAACCGATGGTGATACAAAGGCTTATAAAATAATGTTTCAATAATCATCTATAAAATGATTGAGATCAGAGCTGTTTTAAAACAGCAGCAGTCCACTTTGGTGTTGGTCTGCCATTCGCTCATTAATCTGGTCTGATTTATACCCTATTTTTCTAATGGTCAATCAGAAAGCTRTGTACCACAGGTAAGATATTAAATGCTCTTCATTTCTCCATGTACCCTCACTTCTATTTCTAGTTAGAAAGTTAGAAAAAAATTGATAAAAATATAAGAAATTGTACTTTAATCCAAACCTTTGTTCCCTTTTTTTCCAGAATTTACGAGAAGATTCTGACAATACAGAATGAAAAACATACTATTCCATTTAAAACAAAAGAAAATACAGTGTAAAATGTTTTATTCTTTATAATAGATTTTTTTTTCCTGATGCAGCAGGGTGTATCTGAATGAATGTGAAAACTTCTAAAGTGAATTTATATTAAGGCGCTGTGCAGAATGAAGCAGATTGTGGGAAACACTGATGATTTAAGCACATTCTCATTTTGGTTTAATTGACTATATAAATTGAAGTTATGCCACACTGTTGCATGCACACATTCACATGTATATAAACATTCACCTTACACTTGAACTTGAACCGTGTCACATGCATTGAGCAGCCATTCTTGTGATCTTTGTCATGGATAACCATGAATACAGAAACAGCATTAACCTGGTGGTTTAAACATTTAGTGTCAAGAAGCCATTTTTTAGTTACAGAGCAACTCTGCTTAACAGAGAATATAATCGACAGAACTGCGGAGTGCTTTATTAAAACTACTGCCGAAGCCTTCTTGTTCCTTCTCTGCTGATAAATCTCCTCTTATCATTTGCCTTCCTCTCTCAGTCATGTTCTGTATGTCTCTTTATATCATTCCATCTCTCCTCTTCCTCCATCTTTTATTTCAGTCATCCTCTTTATTATTTCATTTTTTCAATCTATCCCCCATCTGTTCCGACTGCTTTTAAGCAAAAGCTGTTTTTACCAAATCTACACACACTGGCATCATCAGGCAAAATAAAAGTTCAGCACTTTAGGTCACGTGTAGCTTGCAGATCCTTACATATTTAAATCAAATAAGAATACTACATAAAAAGTGATTTGCATGGCTATTTAGGCAGCCTCGCGGAATGTTTATCCATAATGTTGGTTATTTTTCATAATTCTTGTGCAGATTCAGCTTGAATCATTCTATAAACTCTTATAAAAAAGGATTATTTAATTCAATGGTTCCCAAAGTTGGGGTCAGGACCCCACTGTGTTGTGAAACATTAAGTAGGGGGTAGAGAAAAGCTATAGAAATCCAATTTTCCTTTAAAAATGATTGCCAGTAGCATATCTATTTCTAAATGTTC